AGGAGCGGCGCCGGGCGCCGGCCAGGAGGCCCGCTGCCGTGGGTATCGCGGACGGCTGGCACCTCGCGGCGTCGGCCTCCGCGGCCCTGCGGGTCGTGGGCGACAGGCAAGGCTGGCCGGCCGAGAACCGGCGCCTGCTCCCGTCCAGCTGCGCCGCCTTCTTCCCTGCTGCGGACGCGGGCCTGGAGCCCTTTGGCCGTCATGGCAACCAGCTCGCCGCGCTTGCCTCCTGTTTGTCCGGGGGCTGGAGGTGCTGAGCTCTGCTCTGCACATACGCCGTGGCTCTGATGTCCGGGAGAACGGCCATGCTGCAGCGCGCACGGAGGAGGTAGAGGCCTTGTGCACGATGCTGCTGGACATGGTTCGGTGCGGCACGGATCCGCGCACTTGTCACGCAGCGTACACTATGCTGGCGAGGAGCGTCGCGAGAAGGCTGGATTATGACATGCGTTTGTGCCCTCCGTGGGCACTAGGGTCAGCCTTGCAACGCGCTTCGGTGGCAGTGCACGGGGTCATGCAGGCCCTCGCTGTGCAGCCTCTCTGCCAGGACCATGCTGCCGTCGCGGGTGTGCACACCTTCTTCGGCGGCCTGCGCGCTCAGACGGCTGATCTGCAGCACGCCCGGGTGGCTTTGTGGGCACGCCATGTCTCGGTGGAGGCCGACGCGATTGCCGTTGCCGCCCGCTTCGGCCGCCTTGTCGCCAGTCCCCACCCTGACGCGCCCTTGGCCGCCCAGGCTCGCGACGAGGTGGCCGTCGCAGGCCCAGGGTGCGTCGAGTTCACGGCGGAGGCCTGGGTCGAGCCCCCTTGGGCGGCCGAGCTCCCGACAGAGGCAGTCTTCGACTTCTACGCGGAGGCCGACGACGTCCCTGGAGCCCATCTGCCGCTCCTGCAGGCCAGCCAGGACTACGAGGGCACGTGGGCGGGCCCGCGCCGTCTCCCCGCCTAGGCGTACCGCGGCCTCGCTGTTCCCGCGACCGCCCGCCTCCGGGCCCGTCTGCCCGCAGCGCGCCAGGCGCGGCTGCTGTCAGGCGGCGGGCTTGGCGCCGGTGCCTCTGGAACGGCTTCGTGCGGGAGGGCGAGATGGCCTTTCACGACGCCTCCTTAGCGGTCATGTTCTGGCGCCGCCTCCTGCTGGACTTGCTGGATTCTCTGGCCACGTGCGCTTCCCAGTGCTCTGGCAGCGCCGCCAGGGGCAGCGACGAACGGTGAGGCGCGTACGGCAGGCCCCTGGATGTCTCGGGCCTTCACGCACTCCACTGCCCAGTGGGGCCACACCGCATCCAGCTGCACAACGAGATCGTGCGGGCCATCTCGGACTGGATTTCTGCCCGCGGCGGGTTCGCCGACATGGAGCGCTGCGCGCTGGAGCTGCGCAGGGAGGCGGGTGGTAAGATCACCGCAGCGCGGCTCGACCTCGTCGTTAGTTGGCCGGGCTTGCCTGCGCCGACGCGTGTGGACGTCACCGCGCGTTCGCACGGCGAGTCAGTCCCAGCAGCGCGCGCCATCGGCCACGAGGCCCGCGACGCAGAGAAGCGCAAGAAGGACCAGCACGGCGAGGTGGTCGTCCAGTTCGCGGTGGTGACCGAGGGCAGGTTTCGTAGCGGACATCGCCGCGGGGAGCCCGCTGGGCAGCCCGGCGCACTGCTGTCCTCCTTGGGGAGCCCGCTGGCCGCCTCGGAAAGTATTTCGTGCGGCAGCGGTCCGCTAGGGTCTCCGCCGCCCTCACGTCGCGCCTCAGCGAGCTACTGGCGGCCGCGCAGGCTCCCGTGAGCGGCCGCCCCTGCAGTTGATTTGTTATACGCTGACATGTCGTTGCCAGGAGATCGCCCGATCACCATCACCATCACCACCCATCACCAACACAATAATCATCATCATCATCATCATCATCATCATCATCATCATCATCATCATCATCATCATCATCATCATCATCATCATCATCATCATCATCATCGCCATCATCATCATCATCACCATCATCATCACCATCATCACCACCATCATCATCAGCATCAGTAGTATCATCGCCGCCAACTTCAACAGCATCCGTGCCATACTATCAGCAGCGTCAGCATCAGCAGCATCAGTTGCAACATCACATCTTCAGCATTATGACCGTCATCGTAGTAATGATCGTAATCATAATAAAAGACATCATCTTCATCGCCACCCTCATCATCGTCATCATCGTCGCTATCACTGTCACTATCATCATCATCATCATCATCATCATCATCATCATCATCATCATCATCATCATCATCATCATCATCACCCCTTGGCAGGCCGACCTGTGGTCCGTGGGCGCCATCCTGTACGAACTCCTCATGGGGAGGCCGCCCTTCTCGGGCGCCAACCCCATGCAGCTGTTGGCGAACATCGAGAAGCAGGACCCTCGGAACTCCCCGTTGTCGGTGCCGAGGGCGAGGGGGCAATGCGCGCCTTGCGCGGCCTCCCTCTCGCTTCGCCCCCATTGCCCCTAGTGGACGCGAGGCGACCCGAAGCTCGTCGAGCCTGACGATCCATAGGAGTCACGAGGATTTCCCCTGGGACCCTGAGGGCATCCTGAAGGATCCCTGGGGCTTCTTTGGGGGATCCTGCGGAGTTCCTGCTGCGCCCGCGTGGTTCAGCGGTCGGTATGTGATATTTTTGTTTGTGTTTGGTTTGCCTCCCGCCCGGGGCGGGTGCGACGATAATGACGAGGAGGTGGGGGAGGATGGGACAGAGGAGAGGAAGGAGGACGAGGAGAAGGATACGGAGGAGGAGGAGGATGAGGGGGAGTGGAGAAGAGGGAGGGTGTAGAGGAACGAAACGCAGTTGGAAAGAGAACGGTCCATTTTCTTCCAAATTTTGCAAACCCGAAAGGGGGCCATACCCAGCCAGCCTGGAGTTCGAACAGCCGCCATTCTCCAGTGGGTGGAAGCGCTGGTCACTCCAGGACCCACGACCCAATCCACGCGGTGCACTTCTTCCCCCCCACGTGCGTCAACGGCCAAGCCGCGTCTTGATCGCGCGGAGCAGGGCGCCCCCAGCTGTGTACGAAACTGGGCCTTGATGAGGGGGGGGGGGAACTGGTCGCAAGTGCTGCCGCTCTCATAGGTCGCCCGCGGGGTCGCGAAGTCGCGCTTCGCGGCCTGGGCCAGAGCAGCTACCCTTCTCCGGGGGGTGGCGCAAAGGCGCGAACCTCATCGCGCGTCGCGCATCGCGGGGCGCGACGCGCGAAGTTCGGCGACTTAGACTCTGCGCTGAAGGGTCCGCTGGGTCTTCATACAGGGGCGCGGGGAGCTGATCGCAAGTGCCGCCGTTTTCTCGCACCCGAAGGGCTCCAGCCCGCAGCGCGCCGCAGGGCCCTTCCGAGGGCCCAGGAAGGGAGATGGCTCCGCTGCGAGACGGAGCGACGACGCGAGCGCAGGCTCATTTCAGGACGTTGGTCACGGACGTCTTCCCCCATGGCGCCACTGTGTTTGAGCGCAGGGATGACGCCAACATGCTGCTGTGCAATTGTCCCCGCTTCCTCCACTTCCCTGGTGCAAGATACTATTATATAATATTGCGTCGGTGCCGAGAGGGAACGGGACCCCCTCTGGTGGTACCCGTGGTCGCTCGCGTGGCCGCTGGATCAATGGCCCTCTTTTGAGCGCACTCCCAGGAGCTGCGACGGAGCGGAGGCACACGGATGTGTTTTCCCAAAACAGTGCTTGCACTCGGGGCTTGTACTTCGCTTGCGAGTCCCTCCGCCTCCTGCTCCTCCTCCTCCTCCTCCTCCTCCTCCTCCTCCTCCTCCTCTTTCTTCTCCTCCCCCTCCTCCTCCTCCTCCTCCTCCTCCGTAGCCATTTTGCCTCAAGGCTTTAGTTTCCCAGGGGAAACAAGTGGATACCGCTAGTCCGCGGCTAGACTTCGGCTTCTTTCGTCGCACCGCTGCGTGAGCCGCTCCCTGGCGACGCAGCTTCGAGAGTCCGCCTTCACCGCGGGAGTTGGGCACCCGCCACGAATGCCAGATCGCATTGGGAAAAAGGACAAGGATAAGAAGGATAATAAAGAAAAGAAAGATGGGAAAGTCAATAAGGGCGTCAAGAGTGACGGCACCCCTGGCTGACGGAGGCAAGGGCGCTCGCCGTCGGACGATGGCTTTGGCAGGTTGTTTCGTTTGTCTGTTGCTTCGACTCCTTTGCCCACACCGCGAGCTGCGCGACATGATCGACGGGGGCAGGGTTCGACTCCTGGCCAGCGGTCTCGCAGCAGCTACGGTGAGCACTCCACGGGAGCCGAAGCCCGTGCACACGATGCTGGCTCTGCATCTGATACCATGGCACTCCTGGAGGAGCTGGCAGCAGCTCCCACGTTCCCCTCGCAGGAGCTGGCGGGGGACATCGGTGGCGCCGCCGCTGGCAGCCTGGGCTCCCAGGCCTGGTCGACCCCGCCACTCCATCATCGTGCTGGACGGGGATACGGTGAAGCTGGAGCCCTGTCCCCTTCTGGGCCTGCCGCGGCGACCCCTCCTGCCGAGGGGTGGCCTCATACTGGAGTGGACCCATGGGCTGCCTCATCTGCCCGTGCCGCTGTCCAATCGGAGCTTGCTGGTATGCGGGAGAGGTGGACGGCTGAAATTAAGGCTGCATCCCACGCTGCGATCACGGAGGCCATGGCGAAGTCATTGCCCATGGTCCTTGGGAAGCACTTGGGCTCCGCCGTGGAGGCGGCCACCTCGCCTGTGTTGCAGCGCATCCAGCAGTCATTCGACTCTCGCCTGGCGGAGATGGATCGCAGGTTCCAGGCCTTCAGTGAGCGCCTCACCGAGCAGGGGGATAGCGTCGCGGCCCTGCCCGCGCGGCTCAGTCACCTCGAGTCTCAGCTTGACCTCGCCCGTTCGCGTCCTCGGCCTCCTGTCGAGAGATCGGCCAACTGGGACCGCGAGATCGACCGCGCGATCTTCACGATCAACTGCAAAGAGGAGGTCCCATTCGGTGCGGTCCAGGCCGCCATCGGCCCGTGGCTCCAGGAGGCGGGGTACACCACCGGCGACCAATGCGACCTGGAGGGCTCGGGCATCTCGCGACGCTTTGTCCTCCGCTTCAAAGGCGACATGGACGCAACACTGGACTCGCGCATCCGCCATGCCTTCGGTGCACTGCGGGATGACCGCGGCACATGGCGCCGCTTTGCCGTCGAGCTTCCTCTTGGTCGGTCGGTCCCGCTCCACATCGGGCTCGACAAGAATCGGCACACCCAGACCAGGGAGCTGGTCGTCAAGAGGGTTGTGCGTGCGCTGTCTGAGCACCTCGGTGCCCGCCTCTTTGGGGACCGTGACACGGGCGTGGTCAGCCACCAGTGGGAGCCCCTGGTATCTATCGTCGTGGACCCCGTCGAGGTGCCGAGGATCCGCTGGAACAACGCCAAGCTCGCCGACATGCGATTGGAGAAGGGCCCGCTCGACACTTTGGTCAAGAATCTCTTCCTGCGTCCCACCGTCAAGTGGGATGGGTAACACTGTCATGAATGCTACTGAAGTGCGATTTGTGCCCTGGAACTGCGTCTCCCTCTGTCACTACCTGTCCCAGGGCATCGACCGCAAGCTCTCCATCCTCAACTCCCTCTACTCCGACACCTCCATCATTGCTCTTCAAGAAGTTCGCGGGAACGAAGCTGCCGTTGACGAAGTGTTGCAGCGGTCTGGGCGATCATTCTCGCGATTCGTTTCAGAGCCCCCTGGTGCTGAGATAAGGGGGTGGGCTGGTTACTCTTCTGCCTGAACATTTATCGCACTCCCTTCTTATTCGTCGAGTGCGCGAAGTTCCTGGCCGCGTCCTGGTCTTGGAAATTCAACACCGCATCACGGGTTTCACTTTCTTCCACTGGAATGTGCACCACTACGGCATCGACAAGGCCGAACTTCTTCAGCTTCGTGATCTGGCGCGTGCTCAACAAGATGATGTCCTTCGGCATCCGATGCGGTTCGCCCAGGTCTTGATTGGCGACTTCAACATCTCGGATGCTACCGCTGATCGCTCTACTGCTGTGTCTGGGCTACCTCAGCAGCCGAGTCGCTCACTGAGGACCTCCACAACCGTGGACCCCTCCCCACCTTCGCCCTCCAGCGCGAGGCCACTCTCCAGCGCGCGGCCTCCGAACGGAGTCGAGCCGCCTGAGAGTGTCGAGCCGCCTGAGGACGTCGGCCCCCCCACGGGAGATAATGGGTTGGGAGCGTCCATGCGGGCATCCACGTGTACTGGGTCTTCAGCGGCAGGTACTGGTCAGCCCTGTCCGGCGCCATCTACGAGGCGATCAGCGGCCACCCGTGGAATGGAGGGCCGACCTGGGGGCTCGCTCTGGCGCCAGATCTGGAGAGGCATGACGGAGATGGAGGTTGATCGGCCGACGAACTGGCATCAAGGGACCCAGTCGGCTAACCGTGTGGATCGAGCGTTTGTGGCTTGCCCTCCCTGGCTGCTGGTCCAGTTCCATCAGTCGATGCGCGTATGCGGTGAGCCTGAGGAGTTTCACCGACAGCGCATCAGCGACCATGTCCCGATTGTGCTCACGTTCTCTTCGTGCAAGCCTTCGAAACGTGATCGCCCGATCCCCCAGGGCATCTGCAAGGGCCCACTCTTTGCCAAGGTGGTTGCGGATTACGAGAAACTGTGCGGGATCCAGTCGATAGTGTCCCCTGTTGAGAAGCTGTGGGTGGCCACGAAGCGTCGGCAGATTGCAGGGCGCCTCACCCGCAACCACCAGCTGCAGCGCATCTCGAATGGCAAGTCACAGAGGGCTATGATTGCGAGGAGTGTGGCTCGGGCGGTGTGGCGATCTGATATGACCTTGGCTCGCACACTTCTGGCTCGACATGCGTGGACATCGAAGTTTCTGTGCATCAAGGACGGGGTGGTCACGCTCCTGAACGCAGGCGACTTCCGTGACCTCCACTCGGATCTACAGCGGCAGGAAGCGCAGGAGCGGGCGTCTGCGCTCCAACGCGCGCAAGCTGCTGCCGATCGGCCTGCTGATGTCCGCCGTCTCGCTGCTCAACGCCGTGCTGCGCAGCGGCGCGCTCGACTGTGGTCACCCTTCGGGCGTCGACGGTGCCTTGCGGGAGTCTTTCTCCCTGAAGATGACCTGCGGGCCGAGGACGTCGTCGCCCACACGCTGCAGGAGAGGAACTGCGCCCTCGGCAAGCACTGGGCGAAGATCTTCCAGCGCGACCCACCGCTGCACCAGGCGGCAGGAAAATATGCATCTCGCTTCCGCTCGGAGGTCGACTCGTCTGACATCCCCCCGCCGTGCACCCGCCACCTCACCTCCTTCCTCGGCAAGGTCATGGAGGCTGCCCCGGGCCCTGATGGGCTCCCCTACTGCGCGTGGCCCGTGGGTGCGGGACCTGGGGTCATCATGGAGATGCGCCACCATGTGTGCTCTGGCGGGGGGGGTCCTTCCTGGTTTGGAGCTTCCTTGGGCGTCTTCCCCCCGAAGGACCTCTCGGCCGATGAGGAAATCCCTGGAGCCAGGATCGTTCGCCGCTGCAACGACACGCGGCCCCTGGGCTTGAAGAATACGTCCAATAAACTGGTGAGCTCACTTCTGAACTTCGGGATCCGTCCGTGGGTCAAGAAGGCGGGGGCCTCCATCCAGAGGGGCTTTATCCAGGGTCGACAGCATTTAGAAAACGTTCTGGACCTCGACACCTTCACTATGATCGCCAGCTGGGGGTACTCGGAGTCGGACCAGTTCGAGCCCCTCCTCGTCGCATTCGACTTCGCCCAGGCCTTCCCCTCCGTGTCCCAGCGCCGGGTCTGCCTGAACGTCGGCCTCGCTTTGGTGCCCCACGGGTTTCAGGTAAGTGTCCAGACCCTGCACTGCCTCAACCCGTGCTTCACGGCCTCTTCGGGCTCTTGGGACCTTCTCTACTGGATCCTCTCAGGCGTGGTTCAGGGGTGCCCACTGTCTGGAACGATGTATGTGATCGCGTCGAACCCCTTCTACCTCGACATGGAAATGTCTGTGCAGCGTCGGTTCCACGGCGTAGTGAGGTGCTGCGCTGATGGTGCGGGGGGGCTGATACGCACCGCGAAGGGCCTCAGGGAGATGGTGAGAACCTTTAGATGGGCTGAGTTGCTAGCGGGTCTCAGTTTAAAAATCAAGGAAATGTAAGGCTGTCCCTCTCGGCGGCCCCTTTTCTGAGACCCGTAAAGCTCGAGTCTTGGAACAATTGCGTAGGGCTTCCCCTGAGTGGGGCTCTTTTCAGGTCGCCGACGCTCTTCTCTATTTAGGCTTTGTCTTGGGCCCTGGGGCCTCGCTCGCCGCTAATTGGGACGTGCCGTGGGTGAAGATGAGCTCTCGAGTTCGGGAGCTCGCTAAGACTGGTGCTGATGCGGCCTCTCTCCTCCGCATCCACGCCACCAGAGTTGCCCCATGCGCGTCGTACATAGCCCAGTTCCTCCCCCTCCCATGGGCCCTCGGCCGCACGGAACGCTTCTGGTTTTCGAGATGCTGGAGGTGTGCCGCTTCGGTCATGGGAATGTCTGACTGGCTCAGCCTTGAGGCCATTGGTGGCCCGAAAATTTCGGCCCTGGTCTCTACGTGTGCCGCAGCTCGGATGCGATGTGCGCTGGTCAGTCTGCCGCGCTCTTGGCAGCCACTGCTGCGCCGTCTCCGTCATGTGGCAGAGCACCACGGGCCCCTCTCCGCTCTGGACTCCTCCCCCCTGTCCCGCAGCCCCCCTTTCTGGAAGATGGATGCCATTGCCGCCTTGATGGGCCACGCCGCCGAAGGCTTCCCTGGGACCCAGCGGCCGCGTGAGAGGGGTGGGCCGTCTTGGGAGGCGGGTGGGCGTGAGGCTCTTCGGACGTTCGGTGCTGGATCCCAGGAAAAGCGTCCGAAATGGCAGCGTGTGTTCGGCTCCATTCTTCAAAAACAAGTTTTTGATTGCACGATCTTCGTGACGTTGGAACGGCGCCTCCAGAAGTGGCACGGTGAGCCCCCTCCGTCGCCTGAAGAGGGGGGATGGGAGCGGCTACAAGCGCTGCTCGCCTCCCTCCCAGGAGCCTGGAGAATCTGCCTGGTTAAGGCGTGGTTGGGAGCCTGGCCCACCAACTCGCGCATGCAGCGTGGTGCTCAGTGTGTGCTGGGATGTGAAGATAGCCGCGACTCGGTCGACCACTATTTTGGGTCGTGTCGTCGGCTCCACTGGCTGGCCTCCTTGGCCTGCAGGACCCCGCTGCCAAGCAAGTGTAGGTTTCGGCTAGGTCTCCTCGGGTCGCCAGCGTTTTGTGTTTATCTGTATCACGCTTACCGATTGGCTGTGCACCGCTCGATCGGATCAGATCTTGCCAGTGACATGTCTATTATTCAGGCCATCCGTGTGGCGGTGCGTCTCCCGACAAGGGGGTGCCAGCGTCGGCCCCTCGACCTCCAGGCCCTCCACAACAGCGTGGTGAAGGCTCGTGGGGGGGAGTCAGAGTAGTGTAGGACGTGGGACTCCTTCGGCTACGCTCCACCTCCTCCTCCTCCTCCTCCTCCTCCTCCTCCTCCTCATCATCATCATCATCATCATCATCATCCTTCTCCTCCTCCGCCTCCTCCTCCTCCTCTGCTTCTGCCTCCTCCTGCTCCTCCTCCTCCTCCTCCTCCTCCTCCTCTTCCTCCTCCTCCTCGCTCGGGTGGCCCAAGGTCGTCCGTTGCCCAGTGACCCGCTCTCTGCCCTTGCTCTCGTCGTCCCCACGCTGGATTCGACTCGGGGAGTGGCGCTGATGTTCCACTTGCACCGTCTTCTCCATCTTGAGACGCGTGAGGGCACCAGCGGAGCGGTTCCTGCCGCGGTCGCCCGTTCGATCGTCAGGGCTGCGCGTCAAGCTGTGGACCTCCCTTCTGGAGGCAATTCGGCCCGAAGGACCCGTAGGGTGGCTAGGTAAGGAGTTCAGACATTCCAGAGGACGCTCCGCCTCCTCCTCCTCCTCCTCTTCCCCCTCCTCCTCTCTCCTCCTCCTCCTCCTCCTCCTCCTCCTCCTCCTCCTCCTCCTCCTCCTCCTCCTCCTCCTCCTCCTCCTCCTCCTCCTCCTCCTCCTCCCCCTATCCTCCTCTTCGAGCCGTTTGGCTCCGAGGCGGGCTTGTCCGTGCGCAGATCCTCGCCCACGTCCAATGTAGACCGCGAGGGTGGCCCCTCCATGGAGGCCGCGCAGCCAGTGGAGGCGGAAAAGGCCGGCCACGGCCTTTCCTGCTCCCCCTCCTCCCCTGCTCCTGCTCGTCCTGCTGCTGCCCCTCCTCCCCCTCCTCCTCCCTTCCTCCTATCTTTTTCCCTCCTTCCCTCCTCCCGTTCTCCTCCTCATTCCTCCTTCCTTCCTCCCCCCCTCCTCCTTCCTTCCTCCTGCTCCTTCCCCTCGTCCGCTTCCTCATCATCCTCATCCTCCCTTCCTCCTTGCTTTTCCTTCCGCTTTCATCCTTCTCCTCCTTTCTCTTTCCTCCTTCCTCCCTCCTCCTCCTCCTCCTCCTCCTCCTCCTCCTCCTCCTCCTCCTCCTCCTCCGCCGCTTCCCCTGCAGCCTGCCTCGTGGCCCCACGAGGGCGGGCAAGGGGGCGCGGCCCAGGGTCGGGGGAGGTCTGCCGCCGAAGAGCGACGCGACGTTCACAGGAGGGCACCTGCCTGCCGGGAACCACCCGCAGGAGCAAGATCAGGGAGGTTTGCCGCCGAAGAGTGGCGTTGAGCTGCCCCCCCCCCTGGGCGATGGCCATCGGAGGGCCCCTGATGGACAGGGTGCGCCCGCAGGAGCAATACAGGTATGATACCTGAGGTATCGGAAGCGATTGAGCAAAACCCAGAAAATATGTATGGTGTCACCCCCCCTTTTCGAACACAATGCTGGTTCCAGATCCTCCGAGTGTCCGAGTGGTCCTGCGTAAACGTGCCAACTTTGAGAGTTGCGGGTGAGTGCTGCTTACATCATTGTTCCCACCAAGCGTGTCAGAAGGTCAGGCGACGACGACGACGACGACGACGACGACAAGGACGACGACGACGAGGACGACGAGGACGACGGCGACGAGGACGACGACGACGACGACGACGAGGACGACGACGACGAGGACGACGAGGACGACGACGACGAGGACGACGACGACGACGACGACGACGACGACGACGACGACGACGACGACGAGGACGGCCTTTTTGTATGGAGCGAGTTCGGCCCCTGGTTCCATCGCACACATTCGCTGGCCCCAGGCGCACGCGGCGGACGCAGGCGCGAGCAGTCGCCGCGCCGCCGCTTGGCTCGCGCGCCCCGCGGCGCGCCGCAGGCGATGTGGGCAGGCCCGCGCGCCCCCGCGCGCGGCCGCTGCCCGCCGCGGCCGCGCGCAGGTACCACAGGTTTGTGTGTGCCTGGGGCGCGCGCCCCGCGCTCGGCATTTGAGCGCGGGGCGCGCGCGACCGCCCGCGCCGCCGCCTGCTCGTCGCTGCCGCTTGCCGCCGCTCGCCTGCTCGCTGCGTGCTGCGTTGCCTTGCGGTGCTGCTTGCCGCCGCCTGCCTGCTCGTTGCGTGCCGCTTCGCCTTGCGCCGCCGCCTGCCCTTGCTTGCTGCTTCCGCGCGCGCGCGCCGGTCTTCGCCGCGCTGCCCTCGTGCCCCTCGTGCAGGTTCCCTCCCCCTTCCTCCCGCGCGCGGTGCCTCCGCCGTTGTCAGGTTCCTTCCCCCCTCTCCTCTCCCCCCGCAGGTACCGATTCCCTCGTCGTTTTGCCGGACTTGAAAAGATGCCAGGACGACTTCCCGTTACTCTGCTAGTGACTACGGGACCTAATTTAGGTCCAGTCTGCGTTTCGGCCTAACGAGGTCGTTGCAGGCGCGATTCGACGCCAACGCCGCATCCGAGCGTGGGCCGCGTGCGAACGACCGAACGTGGTCAAATTAGACGCAATTCGACGTTTACGCCGCAGCCGTCCGACGCTAGCAAGCGCACGACCGAACTAGGTCCGATTAGACGCAATTCGGCGTCTACGCCGCATCCGAACGAGGATAGCGAGCGAACGACCGAAAGAGGTCAAATTAAGACGCAATTCGACGTCTACGCCGCATCCGACGAGGATAGCGAGCGAACGACCGAACAAGGTCCGATCAGACGCAATTCGACGTCTACGCCGCATCCGAACGAGGATAGCGAGCGAACGACCGAACGAGGTCAAACTAAGACGCAATTCGACGTCTACGCCGCATCTGGACGAGGATAGCGAGCGAACGACCGAACTAGGTCCGATTAGACGCAATTCGACGTCTACGCCGCATCCGAACGAGGATAGCGAGCGACCGACCGAACGAGGTCAGATTACGACGCAATTCGACGTCTACGCCGCACGTGTGGCGCGCGAGCGCACTTCCGAGCGGGGGCTGTTCCGACGCGATTCGACGTCTACGCCCCCTCCGCGCACGCTTAGCGCGCGTCATGTGGGTGGCCAAACGAGGCCCGCGCGCGCGCGGTCGGCTTCGGCGCGCGCGCTGCAGCCGAGCGCGGACAGAGTGCGCGCGAGCGCGTCATGCGCGTTAAGAGGCGGCGCCCGCTCGCACCCATGGCGGATTTGCAAGCTTTTCTGTCTGGCGTCGACGCGCGCGCAAAGCGCGACGAGGAATGCCTCCGCGACGTCATTGCAGCACTTCGCGCGAATTCTGTCACGGCGAGCGCCGCGCGCTTTCTCGGTCCGTCTGTCGCGCACAGCGCGTGCCAGGTTGAACAAGACCTAGTCGGGCTCAACATTCATGAGAGTTCGTTCGACAAGGGCGGCCTCAACGGTGGGAAGGTAGCCTTCCTCGACCGCGCCGTCAAGCGTGCCGCAGAGAACGCCGCCAGGGCCGAGGCGGGGCGCATGGCCGCCGCCCGCGGCGACGACGGGGCGGCGCGGGGGTCGAATGACCCTGTCGCTGCGCTAGTGGACGCACTCGCGCGCAAGCCGACTGCGGCCGCGCACGTCGACATCGGCGCGAAGCTGGGCGACATCCGCCTCAGCGATTTGCCGTCTGCTTGCTGGCCGTCGCCGGCGTCGTGCGACTGGCTCGACAGCCAGGCGCCCGCGCGCGCGCGGTGTATCGCTCAGCGTTCGCACGCGGCGCTTCGGAGCGGCGCAGGTCAAAGCGGCCCAAGCGAAGGGGATCGCGAGACCGTTCATTTACAGCGATTTGAAGAAGTGGCTGCCACACTGGGCGGTGGAGAAGCGCGGCGGTCAGGACGGCGCGGACGCGAACAAAGAAGGCGCGCTCTTTCGGCGCGCGCATTCTGGGCGGAGCCGCCGCCTCGCGAGGGCTGTCGCTCATGCCCTGGTCGGTCGCGTTCGACCGGTGGGCCCTGGCCGCGAGCTTCGCGGGCCAGATTGAACTGGCCGCCGCGATGGCGCACAAGGACGTCGTCATGCAGATCGCACTGCAGGCGAACTCCCCTCCCTGGTCTCGCGGCCGAGGCCGGCCGCCGCCCGCGCGCGTTGCGGGCAGGCGCGCGGGGTGCACAAGTCCACAGCCCTGGCGGTCATCTATGACGAGCTGGCCAGGCGGGAGTGGGCCGATCGCGCCAGTGGCTCCAGCTCCTTTAACGTCAACCGCGACGCGCTGCAGCAAGAGCAGAGCCTGTACATACGCGCCGAGCGCGAGTACACGGCTCGTGGGCATCCCAACCTCTCCGGTCGGCAGCAGAAGGGCAGCCGCAAGGGCGCCCCCCATGCGGAGTTCAAGGGGAAAGGCAAGGGCAAGTCCCAGCATGCCGAGAGCGACAAGGGCTGGGGCAAGTCCTGGGAGCCCAAGAGCTGGGGCAAGGTCTGGGAATCGCGGGCCCACGCGAAGGGCAAAGGCAAGCACGACGCAGCGCGGGGCACAGTGCAGCCGCGCACGCCGAAGCGCAAGGCCGAGGATGGAGGCGCGAGCGCCGTCGCGCGGCCGGCAGCGCGCGCTCGCGCGCGGAAAGCGCGCCCAGGCTTGGCAAAGCGCGAGAGCGCGGGCATACCCGCGCCGAATTTGCCAGATGGCAGGTCTCTCTCTGCATCACAGGCGCGGCGCGCTTCCGTCGCGCGCGGGCGTCCCGAACCCTTGGGGGCCGTCGGCCGGCAGGCGCGGGCGCCAGTGACGGCCTCCGGGGCAATGTGCCCGTCGGAAGACCGGAGCGCGCCAGTACCTGACGGGCGGAACGCTGCAAGCAGTGCCGCGGCGGGCTCGTGACCCCCGCGTTTTGAAGGATTGGCGTCCAGCGCCGAGGCGGAGAGCGCGGCCGCGATGCCCCGCGCCTTCCGCGCGCCAGCGCCGCAGCGTCGCAGGGGGAAGACAAGGCAAATATCTACTTTGTCATCAATGCCGCGTCGAAGGGCACGGCGTGGTTTCAAGACGCCGCGCCCCTGCACGACGATCTCCGCGCCTGTGTCGACTGGGCAAAGTCGCGCAGTTGCCAGCAGGCGCGACAGTCGCAACTCGCGCGCGCCACCCCGCACGCGCCGCGCGGCAGATCTTCAGCGAAAGGGAGGCCGCGATTACAGCCATAGAGGCGCGCTGCCGCGAGTCGAGACGTTCGGGGGCCCAGCGGGCCTGGCTGGACGGCGTGGGCGCGGCGGCCAGAGCCGCAGTCTCCGAGGTCGACGGCCCGACCCTAGGCGCCATCGCGACCGAGATCGGCTGGGCCGACGACGTTGAGCGCCTATTCCGCGAAGGGGCGCCGTTCGCGGGCGCGCTGCCAGCCTCCGGCGTCGCCGAGCGTCGCGTGGCCCGCGAAGAGCGCGAGCCCGTCAGCGATCCGATGGGCCGCGCGGAAGCGCAGAATGCGGCGATCATTGCTAGTCTCCGCGACGACGCTCACGCTGCCGAATGGCATGCTGGGGCAGTGGCGGACGCCGCACTCGGGCGAATGACATCGCCAGTGCCGGTCGACGATTTGGCACTGCACGATAAGATTTTGGCACCTCGCTTCTCAGTAGTGCAGGGGAACAAGCCAGACGGCCCCCCAAAGGCTTGCGCGCCGCGCGGCCTGGCGTCGGCCGCGCCCGCGCGCCGCAGCGCAGGTGCGATGCGTCGACGACTATTCTCGCGCGAGGGTCAACGGCGCTACCAGCGTGGAGGAAAAATGGCGCCACGACACGATAGACCAGTTGGTTGCACTGGCAAGTGCCTTTCACGAGGAGGTGCGCCGCGCGCAATCCAGCCTGCAGCGGCGCGTCAATCCCGTGCGCGCGCGCAGATTTCGATTGAGCTCGAATTTTGGAAAGCGGACGTGGGAGGCGCGCGGGCGGCACCGCGCGGTCGCATGCCTGGCGGCCTGCGGCACGCGCGTGCAAGCTGCTGTGGCTCCCGGCGTTGCGCTACGTTGACGACTTCTTCTCGGTTGAGAGGAAGGGCCTCGCGGAGCACGCCGACAAGTGCTTTGCGAGGCTGGTGCGCGCTCTCCTCGGGCCCAGCGCCATGCAGGACCGAAAAATGGCGTGGGGCCCGTCGATCGTGATCCTGGGGCTGCGCGTCCGGTCGTCGGCATCGGGCTTCCACGTCAAGCCCGACGACGATAAAGTAAAGCAGTGGATTACCGTCATCGACGGCGCCTTGAGGTCAGGCGCGCTCACGGCCAGCGAGGCGTCGAAGATGGCGGGTCGCCTGTCGTGGGCATGCTGCCGCGTGTTCGAGCGCGCCGGGCGCTCGATGGTGCGACCGCTCTTCGACCAGGCATGCGGTTCCCTGCCCCGCCTCGTGGGACACGCGAGCGACGCGCTGCGCTGGTGGCGAGACGCACTGGCACGGGACATCGCCCGCGCGCGGCCCTGGCGATGCCGCGACGCGCACCCGCCGGTGCTCGTGCTGGCGGACGCCCGCGGCAGCCCGGCGCGACTCGCCGCAATTTTACTCACAGAAGACACGTTCGAGTGGGCCGACATGGCCCCGCCAGAAGAATTTCTCAGGTCTCAGCGCGACGGTCCGCGGCGCGCGCGCGCGTCGGGCGTTGCGCGATTGGTGCAGCGGATTACGCGCCCGCAATGATCAGCAGATCGCGGCGCTCGAGATGCTGGCGCAGTGCGTGGCTCTGTCCACGTGGGCACGCGCGCTCGCCGGCCGCCGCGTGGTCTTCTTCTCAGACAACAGCGTCGCGGAGTGCACTTTCAGGAAGGGCGCCGCAAACTCACCCGACCACAATTTTCTCGTGCACCAAGTCTGGTCGGCGGTAGTGGCGCTCCAGGCAGCGCGGCAATCGCGGGCCGCCAGACACGCGCGCGCGGCCGCGCCACCGCGGCAGGTCCACGCGTGGATAGAGCGCGTGGGGTCGGCAAGGAACCTGGCCGACGTTCCCAGCCGCGAGGAGCGGGATTTGCTCTCGCGTCTGGGGGGGAAGAGGGTCCGTGCACAACTCGCGGTGGCCTTCCGCTGTGGGCGACCGCCCGCGAGTGCTGCACGTTAGTAAGACTGTCCCGCGCGCGCGCACCGCGGGGCGCGCGCGCGCGCGCAAGCGGAACCGGCTGCCACGCTAGCCGGCATTGCGCAAGATGGAGCTCGCCCGCGACTTCCGCCGTAGCTTCCCAGGGCGTTTCAGCGATGCGGCGGCGGCCGAGACCGCGGCTCTATGCGTTCGGCATGGCTGCTGTTCTCTCATGCAGCTGCAGGGGCGCGGCGGCGAAACCGCCGGCTGGTGCGACCGGGCTGGCACGAGCGAAGAGTGCCGTCGACTCGTGCGGGTGGCCGCGCTGGCCCGACCGCCCCCAGGGCCGCCCCCTGGGCGCGACGCGGTGACCGGCATATCAAGAGGCGTGAAGCGTTTTCTAGGCGAGCGGCGCGCGCGGGCGCGGGTCGGCGTCTTCGCCGCACAGGCAGCGTCGCATCGGTTCGCCTCGCCCGCGATTTACACCAGTGCGGAATAAAAGGTTGCTCGGCTGGCGCGCCCGCGGCGTGCGCGCGCGCGCGCCCGCCAGCGCGCAGGGGATGCCTCCGATATCGCGCGTGCGGCCAGCGCACTGGCGGAGCAAGGGTTCGAGACCCACCAGGATCTCGTCGGAGCGCAGCTGAAGTGCATCGCGGACCTGCATGTCCTGCCAGCACCCCTCCTGTCGGAGCTCGATCGCCTGTGCGCCGCGGGGCCCTCTTCCGCGCGTAGCGGGGATGCGCGGAGCCGCTCTCCAGAGCGCCTGACAGCGATAGCGCCTGCATTCGAAAGGGCGATGGCGCGGCCAGGACCGCCCTCGCCACCCGTACCAGGGGGACCGCGTCGCAACGCGCAGTGGCTTGCGTGCCCCATGCCCTCGCAGGGGGAGCGGCGCGAATGGGCGGAACGGGCCCGATTGGAGGTCCTGGTCAGCACTATACCATCCACCCGCCAATCTTTGAAGAGCGGTGTGCGGTGCTGGCTCAATTTCGCGATAGACGTACTCGGACGAGACCGGCATCTCGCGCTGCCGCCCAGCGAGGCGCGACCAATCCGCGCAACCCCTCCTGCGCGGCCCGCAGACTCCTATAATCTGCGGCGTGCGCCCACGACGATATGTTGTGCTGGTCGGGCTCTTTCTCTTGCGCGGGCACGTTCTGGAATTATTGCGGGCACGTGCAGACAGCGTGCGAAGTGCTACGCCTGGACACGAGCGCCTTCGGCAACAGACGGCTGCTCCGGTGTCGGCCCCCCGCGCCACCGCGCGCGCGAGGCCGCGCGTCGCGCGCGCGAGGCCGCGCGTCGCGCGCCCAGGAAGGCCGAGGCAGCCATTGTGCGGCGCGGCGGACACACGCCACGCGAACCGCGCTTCGTTCGCGACGCTATGATTGCGCAATTACTTGGCCTACATGGTCGCAGCGAAGAAGAAAAGGCGGGGCCGCCGCGCGGCATTCGCCAGTCAACCCAGCGGTCGCGCAGGTGGCATCCACCATGTTTCTAATTACGTACATATCCCTGCTTCGCCTACCATCCGAGTGTTTACCCATCCGGTGGTGCGGCAACACTCTGTCGCGCGGCCGCGCGGCGGGCCGCGCCGTCTGGAAACGCGCGCTGGGGCACCCGCGCACGCGCCGAACGCGCTAGGCGGAGTTGGCCATATCGGCAGACGAGGCATTCCTCTGGTTGCCAAGGCGGAAGAACAAGCCGTGCGCGTCGATACTCCGCCGGAGGTGTTGGTGCCGCGCACGCGCCGCGACGTGCGCCGTGCACGCGCTGCCTCCGTTGCTGCGCGGCACAGCAGTAGGCACTCAGCCGTTCGCGCAGTTCTCAGGGTCGGATGCCCGGCGTATCCTTCGGTCCCTATTGTCCAGGATAGGCGTGGACAGTGCCAACCTATTCGGCACCCTCGACATACGAAGGTCGCGACCCGCGATAGCCCGCGCGGCGCGGCGCGCACAACCCTTCGCCCCTCTCGCGCGCACAAGGGGGCACGCCGATGACATCGATCGCGCGGGTGCACCGACCGCAGTAACGAAGGAACGCGGAGGCTGGGCGTCGAACGCCTACCTGGCTTACATCGACCGCGTCCGGGTCGAAAGTGAGAGGGTAGCGGCCGCGCGCAACGCCGCGTCCGATTGCTCGGACAGCTCTGACAGCAGCTCAGACACCTAGTGTGGCTGCGACATCCCGGCGCGCGCCCGAGCGCCGCGCTCCGCGTGCGCAACGGGTGAGCGGCGCACGGCGCTGGTCGCATCGTTGCATTGGGTCGTGCTGCGACCAGCACCGAGGCCTCGTGGCGCCCGCGCCCTCTCGGCGCGGCGCAGGCTTCGGCGCACACCCAACGCTGTGGTTGCAGACGCAACCCAGCTACGGGTGAGCGGGGTGCTCAGCGAATTTGTGCGTATGGAACGAGTTCGGCCCCTGGTTCCATCGCACACACTCGCTGGCCCCAGGCGCACGCGGCGGACGCAGGCGCGAGCAGTCGCCGCGCCGCCGCTTGGCTCGCGCGCGCCGCAGGCGATGTGGGCAGGCCCGCGCGCCCCCGCGCGCGGCCGCTGCCCGCCGCGGCCGCGCGCAGGTACCACAGGTTTGTGTGTGCCTGGGGCGCGCGCCCCGCGCTCGGGATTTGACCCACCCGTGCCCGCCCCGTTTCTCGCCCGTTGCTGGGTCGTGCTGCGACCAGCACCGAGGCCTCGTGGCGCCCGCGCCCTCTCGGCGCGGCGCAGGCTTCGGCGCGCACCCAACGCTGTGGTTGCAGACGCAACCCAGCTACGGGCGAGCGGGGTGCTCAGCGAATTTGCGCGCCCCGGACCGTTCCCTTCATGGCCCTCGGGTCCAGGGACCGACCCCTGGGCGCCGAATGTCCGTCCGCTGCCTTCTGGTTGGGCATCAGAGGCCGTGCTGTGTGCGCCACCAGCAGACCGGCACCACCCACACATATGTATTATATTACTTACGTTGCATCTTCGGGGGACCTCGCCTGTCCCCAAAATTGGTGTCTTTTCTTGTGCCCGACGCGGGCTCGTTGCAGCCTCGACACGGATTTGGCATGTATTCGACGCGGTCTCGACACGGATTCGACACGGATCCGACGAGGCCGACATGGATTCGACACGGATTCGACGCAGATAGGGCCGCGACGGGACAGACAAGGTTCCCCGAGGATGCAGCATAATATTACATGCGCGTCGACCACGCAAGAGCGCCCCGCACGCTCGGAAATCTCACAGCACAAGCTCCGTTGCGGGCGCGTTCTGGCCATACCGCTCGGGAAACGATGCGCTACAGGATGTTGTGCTATTTGCTCGGGTCGGACGAGCGGCTCCGACAGAGGCACAATAGTATTAGTATGTCCGTACAGTGGAAGCCCATGCCAAGAAACAGTATACTTGCCTCCAGGGTGCCCTTTTTTTAGTTTCGATGGTTTTGCTATGGAAAGCGTGACGTTCCCACACCAGAAATCAATGGACGCCCTGGGGTCTCAGGGTTGGGTTTCTTGTGGATGGTTTCTTGTGGCCGGTTCCCCACAGCATGCGGCCCAGAAGAGGCCGCCCTGATCCGCGCCATCCTCGAGAGGGACGCGCTGCTGCTGGACTTGGAGGCGCGCGAGGCGCGGCTGGCCGCGGAGAACCAGGCGCGCCTCGAGAGCTCTGGGCTGCTGGCCCGGGTGGAGGCCCCTACTCTCCGGCTCCGCTTCGTCTTCCTCATCTTCCTCTCCTAGCTCGTCAGGAGGAGGTGGAGGAGGAGGAGGGGGAGGGGGAGGGGGATGGGGGAGCATGGAGCATGGAACATGGATTGGCCTGCCTCCAAGGAGGCAGGTCCGAGAAGAGAATGCGTATAACAAATATCGTGCAGCAGGCATGGAATGGCAAGCATGCGGGTGAATGCGCCCTAGTGTGAAACACACCCGAAATATGGCCAATCCGGTCGGGCAAGGCCCAGCATGAAGCAAGGAAGTGTGGCCCTTTTTCCCAGGCGCCAACATAGACATGGCGACAATATAGTCACGACAGAACGTGACCTTCATAACAGTCGGAGGAAGAGGAGGGGGAGGAGGAGGAGGAGGAGGAGGAGGAGGAGGAGGAGGAGGAGGAGGAGGAGGAGGAGGAGGAGGGAAGGAGGAGGAGGAGGAGGAGGAGGAGGAGGAGGAGGAGGAGGAGGAGGAGGAGGAGGAGGGGTGGGAGGGGAAGGAGGGGGATGAGGGGGAGGAGGAGGACCAGAGCAAACCCAAGACTCATCAATGATGGTGCGAGACGCCCTACCGTCCCAAGGGCCCCGCAATTCAGGCGTGAGCTCCGTTTTCAAACGCTACCGACCGCCATCCTTCGAGATATCAAGAATTCGACAAGGTAGTGGTGTAAACTTCTAGGAAGTGCTCAGCGACAGCCTCGCTTTGACATGGAACCGGCCTCCATCCGTGTAGCTCTTGCGTATGTATGAACTTCTGGTCGTGCAATCCGACAAGGTTACAGGCGAGAGCCCCACTTTTGAAAAGGAGCGCCCTCCATCCGCATAGCTGTTGCACACCGTTGCGTATGTGGTGTTCTTGTTTGTGGATGGCTCAAGCGAGCGCCTCGTTTAGAACAGGTGCGGGCCTCCGCCCTTGCAGCTGATGGAAGCGTTGCGCTAAGGCGAGGGCCTCATTTTGAAGAGGTACCGCCTTCAACTCCTGTGACAGTTGGGAGTTTTACAGCCTCGGGATAGAAGGCATCCGTGTCTCGATACGTTCGTGTATCCCCCTTTCCTGCCTCGCCTGCAGCCATCGCGGCACAGGCCCGCTGGATACGTTGTCAGGAAGTCTCAAGCGAAACGCCCAGCCAGGCCTAAGAACGCGTCTCGTGGTGCGACATAGAGGAGGATGAGGATGCGGAGGAGGAGGAGGAGGAGGAGGACGAGGAGGACGAGGAGGACGAGGAGGAGGACGAGGAGACGGAGGAGGAGGAAGAGGAGGGGAGGAGGAAGAAGACGACGAGGAAGACGACGAGGACGAGGAGGCTTCTTTTGGTTTTGCTCAGGCTTCCAGAAGCCCCTGGAGGCCGCCCGCTGCTCCCGAGGGCCTCTGGAGACTTCCAGATACGTCCAGAGACCCGCAGATACCTTTGTGGACACCTCTGGTGATGGTGATGGTGATGACGACGGCGACAACGACTACGACGACGATGATGATGATGACGATGATGATGGTAATGCTAATGCTGATGATGGTGATGATGACGCTGATGGTGCTGATTATGATGACGGTGGTGGTGATGATGCTGACGATGACGATGACAAAGCTTATGACGATGCTGCTGATGATGGTGGTGATGATGATGCCGATCGTGCTGATGCTGATGACGTTGATGATGATGATGATGATGATGATGATGATGATGATGATGATGATGATGATGATGATGATGGTGATGATAGTGGTGATACGTGGTGATGGTTATGGTGATGATGTTGTCGATGACGATGATGACGCCGATGGCAATGGTAAGGATGATACTGACGACGATGATGGTGGTGGTGATGATGATGCTGGTGGCGGTGGTGATGGTGATGATGATGACGATGCGGATGATGATGATGCTGATGATGATGATGCCGATGATGACGATGATGCTGATGCTGATGTCGGTGATGGTGATGGTGATGCGGATGATGATGACCATGATGGGGATTATGATGACGACGATGATGATGATCCTGATGGTGGTGATGAAGACGATGATGATGCTGATGAGGATGAGGATGAGGATGATGAGGAGGATGAGGATGAGGAGGATGAGGAGGAGGATGACGATGCTGATGACGACGATGATGAAGCTGATGATGATGAATCTGATGGCCTCGGCGAGGGTGGTGATGGTGGTGGTGTTGCCGCTGCTGATGACGAGGAGGAGAAGGAGAATGAGGATGAGGAGGAGGAGGAGGAGGAGGAGGAGGAGTGGCGGTGGTCGGGACGTGTTACCATCAGTACAGGCACAGCGGCTTTGCCGTCCCAAGGCCAGCCTTACAGGCCAGCCCTCACCTCTTGCGCTCAGGCACTCGTTCACCTATCTCCTACCGTCGCCTGCGCAGCGCAATTTACGCTCACTGCTTCTGAGACAACCTTGTTTTTCAAGACATCCAATGTGTTGTTCTCTGCTCGTACCTTCGGCGGCCCATCTGCCACGTTTTTCTTATATACCATCATTATGGTGTACGCTTCACACTTCTTTTGGTAGATGCCCACTGCCACCTTATACGTTTCGCCTCTCGTCGTAGTCCGGTTCAAGGCAGCACGCATCATCATACGGCTTACTTTCAAACATGAGACAGCTTGTACCTACTATATTCGGGGAGGTTGCTTGAGGTTGTTGTGTGGGGGGTGGGCTGGTGACTCACCAAGGCACATTCTGCTTCACGTGCCTGGCGGGCGCCTACTTAATGTTATACCCTTCACCGCCTATGTTATTTTACCGCCTGCCTCACGGCGCCCGCCAGGTACTTGTGAGCCAAGTCGTGTATGTTTCTTGATTTACTTCCTGTCTTGTATGCTACAGCTTCCAGAACGCCACACGCTGACGCATAAGGCCCGCGCGACGCCAAACAGGGGGAGGAGGAGGAGGAACAGGAGGAGAAGAGGATGGTGACATAATGCAGGATGGATGAGGAGACGGAGGAGGATGGAGGAGGAAAAGGAGGAGGGAGCGGCATGATGGACTTGAAGAGGAGGAGGAGGAAAAGCAAAAGGAGGTGAACGGAGGAGGAATTTGAAGAGGATGAGGCGGAACTTGAAGAGGAGGAGGAAACACAGAGGGAGGAGGAGGAGGTGGAGGATGACGGCAGGAGCGCAGCATGATAGCAGGGAAGGACGGAGGATGGAGGAGGAGGAGGAGGAGGAGGAGGAGGAAGTGATGAGGACGGGGAGGATAAAAATGGGATGAGGATGGGGAGGAAGAGGAGGGGGAGGATGGGGAGGAGGAGGAGGAGGAGGAGGTGGTGGCGGAGGAGGAGGAAGAGGGGGAGGGAGTATGAGTATGAGGATGAGGATGAGGATGAGGATGATGATCAGGATGAGGATGAGGAGAAGGATGAGAAGGAAGAGGAGGAGGAGAAGGAGGAGGAAGAAGATGCTGATGATGATGATGATGATGGTTGTAGTGATGGTGAGGATGATGAGGAAATGGAAGGTGGTGATGATGCTGATGATGCTGCTGATGATGAGGATGGTTACGATGATGAGGATGAGGATGGGGATGATGCGGATGAAGTTTATGATGATGATGACGACGATGCTGAACCTGATGATGTTGTTGATGATGCTGTTTATGATGACAATGCTGATGGATGGTGGTGGTGGTGGTGGTGGTGGTGATGATGATGATGGTGATGACAATGATGCTGATGATGACGACGATGATGATGCTGCTGCTGCTGATGATGATGATGATGGTGATAATGGTGAGTAGGAGGGGGAGGAGGAGGAGGAGGAGGAGGAGGAGGAGGAGGAGGAGGAGGGGTCCTCTATCGCGTGCCCTCTTTTCCTGCTCATTCAAAAAGTGTTTGGAGTACTTGATGAGAGCCTGCGCGCCAGGGGGGAGGAGGAGGAGAACCAGAGTAGGGCCAGCACACTCCATTCAAGCTGCAGAAGCTAACTCGGGCATTCCCTTCAACCACCGCGAGAGCCCCCTGGAACGTGGAGGGCTTCCTGGACATGCGAGAGGCTCAGAATTTAGCATTGCTGGAGCGATGATGCGGCTTACTGGCCTTGCCGAAGGATTTGGACCTGAGAGGGTTGGAAGAGTCACCACCAGATGGCCCGCCACAGGGGGTGGCACCCACAGGACGAGAGGAGCCTGACTGGCTTTGCGAATCAATGATGTCATGGATGTGTCCGACCGCATGCCGTACCAGAGCAACGAGTTCGTGAGCCAATCGCGCGTGTCCTCCTCCTCCTCCTCCTTCTCCTCCTCCTCCTCCTCCTCCTCCTCCTCCTCCTCCTCCTCCTCCTCCATGTAGCCAGCTGCTTCAGGACGTGCGCGGCGCCCCAGGAGGAGTATACGACGCAGAAAACAGACCTGCCCGATCCGTGTGGCCGCTGGGAATGTCAAGATAACATGTAGAGACATGTTCACCGATACACATTGTATTCTTCGAAAGTTATATTTGATTTTTGGGGGGGCCAAGATCCTTGTCATGTCTAACTGTTCTATCCTAGACCTCTTCCTGGCCTCTAGGGGGCCAGGAACAATTAGGAACGAGCACCATCTGAACTGAGCACGATTATGAACCGAGCGACGTGTAGCTCTGTGTGGAAGCGGAGCCGCCCTCCACCCGTGCAGAGACGGAAGATCTCCAGGTCCGGGAGCATGAAGTGCGAGGAAGACTCAGGCGCGAGCCGGCATCGAGAAAGGGGTGCGCCCTGCATCCGTGCAGCGGTTTGGCCCTGAAGCCTTGGGGCTCTTCCGGTGTCGCGGAGTGCCACATGATAAAGAGATGCTGGGAACGATCCGCCCTACGACGGGCCAGTTCGCCATTTTGGCCCGGCGTTCCAAGCAGCAGCTGACAACCAAAGGGTCAGGACATCTCAAACCAGAGTCAGGAAAATTGCCGACCATCCATACCCGTAGCAGTTGGTTTTAGGAAGTCCCAAGCGAGAACCGGGTGTTCAAACACTGCTGCCTGCCAT